ACACACACACACACACACACACACACACACACACACACGCACGCATTTTTCATTTTTTTTCCCTTCATTTTGAGTACTACGGCATTCATTACAAACATCTTAGGCGGTTTGTTTACCCTGGAATTTGCCAATGGCTTTTGATTTTTTTTCTGCTTCTTTTAATGTTTGGCATATTCTGCATACGGAAGTGATATATGTGATTATTTATTTAAATAAGTTGCGAAAAAGTGAGATCCGATTAAAAGCGGTCAGTGACGACATCTGCGGAGACGCATGTTAATGCCAGGTGTGAACGGACGTATTTAGCGCTATCCACTTGTGATCAGATCACCCAGGACGCATGTTAATGCTGGGTGTGAACAGGGCCATATTTTCAGCAATAAAAACCTGCCTCAACAAAGATTGCTCACAGACAACATATTGATACTATTTCGGATTGCATTTGTTTGGTTTTGTTAAGCTGAAACTTATGTACCAACCCTGACTTTGTTAAACCAGTCTCATGACACAAACCCCTGGACACTGGAAAAAAAAAGATTGTTTATCACAGCATACCCCAAGGGAGCAAAAAACAAAGAGAACAAAAATCTTTAACTTGCTCTGGGGAAAGTGGTTAAAGAAAAGCTAATGAGAAATGCCAGTTCAGGTCAGTAAGGCAGGAATTCTATGCTCCACTGGAATCCACCCAAGCAGTGCACGTTTCAGACTCACCATAAACAAGACATCAGTCTCACTTTCATGTGAGATTGGGTTGCAGCCTTTATGGCCAGAACCTGGGAGCTGGGTAAATTTAGTATAGTGCCATATCTGATTATAAGGAATAAAAGCAACCAATGTAAAGAATACTGAGCTCTTGTGACAGTAATATGGGAATTTATGAAGGCCTGTGTATTTGACATTTAACAAGTATATGGCACTGATTAGTTTCCTGTTTAATATGTGTGAGCTGCTCTGAAATAAAAGCAATGAGTGCCAATGATTAATTTCAGCCCTTCAGCTGGAATGCTAACTCGATGCCAGCGAACCTTTTGGCTGGGAGAAATTTAATTTCCTCCAAACTTTTTCTAAGGAAGATATAAATTCAATTATCAAGCCCAAGTCTGAGTCTACAAAAGACATTTCCGGTTTCTTTAAAATTTCAAAGTGACAATTTTTTTTTTAGTTTTTTCTGCTTTTTTGACATTGCAAGCTTGTAGCCTTTAGGTAAAGTAACAGACATCTTACCTTGACTGATGACCGCTTTCCTGTTCCGGCCATCTAGGTCTGCTCGTTCAATCACATGGTGCTTGGCATCTACCCAGTACAACCTATGTCCAGCGTAGTCAATAGTCAGTCCATTGGGCCAGAAGAGGTGGGTGTCTGCGATAACACGTCTGTTGGAACCATCCATGTTAGCATACTCGATACGTGGAGTGTTACCCCAATCCGTCCAGTAGATCTTCCTACAAAAAGACAAAAAAGAACAAAAACCAAATTTAATGACAGTGGAGTCACAATACTGCAAATGATCAGTGCCCCGTGCTAAAGGGTGGGCCTCGCTCTCGGATGGGGTGAGTGGTGCTGGTGGCCAGGGGTACTCCTACCCCTCCATAGGGTGCAGGGCAATGGCGCGGGGCTTCTCCATGTTCTGCCAGAGCAGCACTTTCCGGTGCGTGCCATCCAGGTTGGCCACTTCAATGCGAGACGTGCCTGAGTCAGTCCAGTACAGCTTGTCATGGATCCAATCAATGGCCAGGCCCCCTGTGGAAACACAGGGCAGTGTCTCATTTAGTCCATGCTTGATACGTAGGACTGTTTTCCTGGCTTAATTCCCTCAGTTTCACATGCTAGCAATAAGATAAGCTGGGAAAAAAATGAATTTACTATATTCAATAAGTTAATTCCAATCCATGAACGCAAAGCTGCTACTTGGTTTACAAATGAATTCCCATAATTATCACTTATCGCACATTATAACATCAGGTTTCCCCACACAAGTGTGTGTTTAATGGTGCACAACAGAATCTGGCATAAACATATTCAGAAGTAATTTAAGCCAAAACATTACAAAGCCAGACAAATGCCAATATCTGTTTTTTTGTCTGCTTCTCCAAGAATTCTAATGCAGTTATTGTGCTTAAAAGGTCAGCAAATATATTACTAACTATAGAAATGCCAAAGCTTGCACATCACAGCATCATGAGTTCTTCACATGAACATATCTGTAGGTACCTGGGCTCTCCAGTCCAGTGGACACAACTTCCTCCACATTGCTGCCATTGAGATTTGCCTTCATAATGCGGTCCAGAGTGACGTCAGACCAGAACACTAGCTCCTGGTTGTGGTGGAAGTCCAGCGCAATAGCATTTTCCAAATTGTTCAGTAGCAGCGTGTACTCCGAGCGATGTGGCAGAACCTGCCGGATGTCGATCCGATTGGCAAACAGCAAGACCGGCTCTGGTCCTGCACCCAGACGGAGAGGGATGGTTTAGAAACCTACGGTAGACTTTTTTGTTCTTGGGGTGCCAGATCAAATTTAGACTTGAGCACTGCTAATGAAGCATTGGCAACACAGAAAATCGAATATAAAGATTTTAAGGTTCAGTAAAACAACAAAAAGGTGTGTAATCATTTAAATAATACAGATTGAGTCTGAATTCTGATGGTTTGTATTTTATTTCATTCAACACAAATGTTTTGGTATTATGCTTCCAACAGTGCATGATTTCAAAAGTACAATGGACTGTTTATATAGACCAGGGCTCTTCAAATCTGGACCTTGATTCCAAATCCAGGTCTTGTTTTCAGTTCTCCTAGGTAGTTAGTTTAATAATTACTGATTCTGATTGGTCAGAGGCTTCACACCTGGCTCACATGTAAAGGAAGGCTGGAAAACCAGCAGACTGTGATTTGAATAACCCTGATACAGACAAAACAATCATTCTTCCATAGTTAGCTAACAGGTAGCTAATAGGTACACAGGTATATTTTATTTCATGTTTTGAGTATATGTTTTTTAAGAACTGTTCCAATCACCTTGCTGTTTTCTATTGGGTCTTACTAACTAGTATAGGTAACACCAATGGGGGGTGTGGCCATGAATCAGTAGATTTTGAAATCACACAATGATGATGGCATAACACAAAACGTTTGGGTGGAACCCATGGTGGAACACTAATAAAATACAATGTAAAACACGACAGCCAAAGACACCATGCATAAAGAAGGCTGAAATCCCTGTGCGTGCTACTCTCCAACTTACCCAAAGCCTTACAGCTTCGCTTGTCAGGCCTGAGCTCATAGCCTTGCACACACCAGCACTGGAAGCCCCCTTCCGTGTTGCTACAGCCCTGGCTGCAGTAGCCTTCCTCTGCACACTCATCCATGTCTGCAGCGAGAGGGTGGTGGAGAGAGCATAGAGGGGTCAGCATTCCCATATGTTATCTTACATTAAATCAGCAAATAGGGATCAGTCTCTAACATTTTCAAATAAAATTAGATTTGGTGCCGTCATAAACAACAGCATTGTATTCCCCAGACAGCCCTGTCATTTGGTCTGGCTATCTAATCTGTACGCATCCCACACAGACCAACTTCTTAAATTTCTAGAAGTACTGAATGGATCATCAACAATGTGAAAGTTAATTAATGTGTTTTTACCTGAATGCTCTGAGTCCTTGTTGTGATATGAAAGCATACTTACTCATCTATCCCACTTATATGATTTGCAAAATCTTTTCCCACCAATATGGTATTGCTTTGTACGTGTCTTATTGTCCATGTTTGAGAATGTAAATTTAATTATTATTCTTATATGTTAAATATTTGTATTCTGTTTATTTCTCTTTTGCACTATGAATATAATTTTCTGCGATATAATATGAACTGTAACAGATCCAGTAATGGTATATACTGAGCCCTGGAAGGGCTGGGGGCAGTTTTTTTCTTCTTCATGTACACAATATACTTGTTACTCATTTATATTGAACTGGTGCTTTTATCCAGAAAGGTTTAAAGATAGAGGGAAAAGGTCAAATTTATGTACTTTGAATTCCCAAGCTCAGCATTGTTAGCAAAATGTGCTATCTGTCGAGCTACGAGAGCTGTCTGTGCAATTCTAAATTGCGCTTTAGTTTAACTTGCTCACAAAATACTTAAATCGAGCTCATCATCACACAGTGCGATAAGGAAATTAATCGTGTCTCATTTTGGTGTGAAATGGGACACAGCCTTCATTTTTCAATACGAGGCGACTGCAACATATAGGATTGATGGCAAAAAAAAACCAACAAAAATTTTATTATTTACAGTATATACAAGGGATTAGCTACTATATACAAGAACAGTATTTACAAATCAAAGTCTTTTTAACTCTTAGCTCTTTCACTTAGAGTATACCAATTCCTTACCCACAAAGCAACAAGTTATATTGGCGAACGAGTGATTATCTCCATTGATTACTGAACTCATGTTTTGAATGGTTAAACATGGTTAATCTGAGTATCCTTTAGACACATACACACACACACACACACACACACACACACACAAGTTGGTCTTCTTATCTAAACAGGAACCGTCCATTGATTTCTACTCAAAAAACCATAATTCCAATCATGACACCCTTAACCTCTACCCATCCCTAACCTTAACCATAAGTAACCAACCCAAATACAAGACTTTTGGCATTTTTACTTTTTTGATTGCATTCACAGATTTTTATAAAACTGAGGTTATCCAAATGGGGACCTCAAAACATTTCCCCAAAAGTAGGGAAATTTCAGGTTTTACTACACTTTGGGGACAATTTGGTCCTCAAATGTGATCTATACAAACCCAAACCCAAACACACACACACACACACACACACGTATTTGATTGCATGTTATTTATCCAACGACCCTGGAGCACTTTGTGTGATAAATTTCTGCAAATGAAAATACCTCAGTCTAAAGAAAATATTATTGTAAGCCTACCTTACATGCTCTCCCCATGTCACTAAATAAAAGTGACAAACTAAACTCTCCCACAATTAATTTCGCTTAGTTCCCTGCCATATATTTTAATGACCGGCTACATGACTGTTATGGAAAATATTTGCCAAATGGTGAAGCTAGTGACCAAAAATCAATATAAACTTTATTACAGTATAGTTCAAAAATAATCTTGCGCCCCACAGTTTTAAAATTACTCACCTGTACAACGATCAATAGGATATAGATCCATGGAAGATCTATGTTTACAAGATGGCGACTGCAGGCTAAGTTTTCGCTCTCAGCAGCGCTCTGCTGACAGTTCCAATTTTGTCCTCTCATTGCAGCTACAATTTTAGGTGTGATCAAGTGTACATTTTTAGGTGTAGATTTTCATCCATATGTTTTTGTGAAGTGGTAATAAGTGCCATCAAAGATCAAATAGGGTAAGTAGAGTAAATAATGACAATTACATTGACCCTTTTCACAAAGACCTATTATCTCATGCTTCTTTTTGTTATCGCTAAACACCATTGCTTCAATTTTTGTGCAATTCGTTTCAGAATTTCTCAAAATCCAGATCTTCACTCATACAATGTGCCGGAAAAGTTTGGCCAAATAATTTTTGGGTTTTGAACTTTTCATGCTGACAATCAAGTGTCTCAGCTAGCCTTCTCTCTGCTATCATTATGAGGCGCTACTTCAATGTTGGTGCAATTTGTCTCAAAATTTGATCAGGTCCAGATCTTAAACCTCATAACATGACTGTAAAGGTTGAAAATGATCTTTCAAATACTTTTTGAGTTATCATGCTAACGGGATCAAATGTCAGAAACTAGCCTATTTTGGCTATCAATATGTAGCGCTGTTTCAATTTTGGGGAGCTCCATCTCAAAAGTAGTCACTCCTACCATGTGTCTGAACAATACTTTTTTTAGAGTTATTGTGTTCATAAGACAAAGTGTCTTCTACAGTTGCAGTTTTCCTCCTTTGATACCACACAATGCTGCTGCTAAATGTTTGGGCCAATTTGTCTGAAAATGAAACCAGTTGTAGATCTTCATATAATGTTTTTGTGAAACAGCAATAAGATCAATCAAATACTTTAGGCTTATCACATTCACAAAGTCAAATGTCATCTGCTTTCACCCTTCCCTTTGATGCCACTAAATGGCGTCACTTCAGTTTTGGGGCAATCTGTCTCGAAATTTAATGACTTCCAGATCGGCTCCCAAACAATACATTTGCAGAGTTTGAAAAAGATTTGTCAAAAGCCTTTTGAGTTACAGTTTTAAGGGGATCAAGTGCCAAATACACCCTTTTTTTGCCATCACTATGCAGTACTGCTTCAGTTTTGTGGTCTCGGAATTTAATCAGTTTTAGCATGTCCTACACTGCCCGTCCAAGGTTTGAAAAAGATTGTTCAAACGGTTTTTGAGTTGAGTTATCTCCTTACATACCAAGGACTCTATGGAGGCAGCGGATCAGTGCTGAAATCATATGTATTCCCTGAAATCCAGGGAATACAATTACACACAGAAAATTCTGGAGGCAGCCTAAAGAGAATACAAACTAGAATAGCAGCGGAGAGCTTCAGTGTAAGTCAAGGATGTGAGCTAAAAGGAAGCATGCTATTTGTTCTGCAGTCAGAGACAAATACAAGAAAAAACTATAGGCGCTTTTCCACTGCATCAAGTACCATCATTTTGGTACAGTACTTTTGGCACTTTCTACATTGAGTTCCAGTACAAGAAGTTCCAGTATCAAAAGTGCCAAACTAGCTATGGGACTTTTTTGGTACTATGGTACTTTGGGGTGGGACTTTCTTTGTCAATTGGTTATGCAAAAAGACAGGTTCTGAAGCACAATACAACTGCTGTCTTGAACAAAGTTGCAAACTCAGAAACCAACTATAAATAAAAATGAAAGAAAGTAATGGTAATTCCTGCATGAACAAATGAAGTCAACAAAGCTTTAATTGTGATCTGGTCAGAAGAACAGATACAACAAGATCACCATGGCATGACAAGAAATAAGGTTTTATATAATAATTATAATAGTAATTGGAAGATTTTCAAGTATTGCAATGTATTGTACCCCAATATAAATTAGGGTATTTATAAAACAAAAAAGGAAACATAAATTAACTCTGAAACCCGTATATGAGTGATTTAAACATCATGGCTAAAAATGATTGTGATTGTCTTGGAGAACGCAATCAGCACTCATTCAAAAAGCAGCAAAGGTAAACTTTAAACTGATTTTTAAACATATACTAGATAATCTTGAAAAAGGAATAATAATTAATATTGCAAAACTAGTTTTGCAAAAAGTTATTTTTCCCCATGACAGAGTAAAAATGTTTCAGCAAAACTTAAATTCCCTGTGCTATAATGTCCATACAGAATTAAAGGTAAGAAAAAGCCTGATCTCAATCTAGCTGACTAGTGATGTTAAAATTGCATGTCCATAACATGCAACTTTGGTATCAATATCACACATCGTCCATCCCTATAATACACTGCAGCCATTTTTAGGACTCAGTACAAAATGTCCTGCCTCGCATTGTGATGTCATTCGGTGCCAGCACCAGTTTTTACGGCAGTGGAAAACCAACACCTTGAAGTACCGTACTATTGCCCAAAAATACGGTATCTGGTGCGGTGGCAAAGTGGCCTATGTCAGAACTCCTCTGATTAGGACAATTCCTGTGAGAAATAAATGCACAGCTAGGATCTGCCTTTAAGGTAAACTAGATATACTGTGGGACTGAGAGCCGGTTTGGTCAGATATCTGTCATGCAGCAACTACAGAGAGAGGGAGGCTAGATAAAAAACATCCCTCCCTAATCACAGAAAAAACAGGTCATCTGCTTAAGAGCCTCAGATGTGCTAAAAAAAAAGTAACACTTCCAGGCAAAGAATGCATCTCTTAAGTAATATTTAGTCATAGATCATGTGAAATCCATGACTCATAATGTATTCCTAGTTTGTTAGGCTGCTTTTAGTACAGCTGGCAGACAAGCCAAATGTAGAATTATGAGAAACTCAAAAAAGTCTCACAAACAATATACCACATATCAGGGATACAAGATCCAAAGCACTACTGATGAATGCAGCTGATTGGCGTGTTTGCATGCAGCCCCGGCGCTGCTCGCCCTGGCGCTGCTCACCTTGGCAGCTCCTCCCATCCTCAGCCAGCCTGTAGCCTGTGTGGCAGGTGCACTGGACCATGCCGCGAGTCATGCGGCACTTCTGAGAACAGCCACCATTGTTCACGCTGCAGTTCTCATCACTGGACCTTGGACCTGGGGGCCAGAAGACATATACAGGAGGGTCAGATATTGGCTTACGGTGTACTTCACATTTTGCATGAGACTCTAGTCCATATTTTCTGTCACATATCTGTGACAAATCAGGGAGTTCCCTGACCAAATTTATTTTCTGAAATCTATGCTGAGTGACATACCAGCTCTGACTCGGAGGCGTGCAAACATGCAGTTTCATGTGGCTTCCACGCTGACTGGCATGCTGAAAGGGTTGTGGGTCAGACTCACCGCATTCCTGCATAGGGTGCTCATCTGTGCCATCCCCACAGTCGCTGACCTCATTGCACACCTTTCGCAGGCCGATGCAGCGACCGTTTCCACACAGGAACTGGTCAGGGGCACAAGGCGGGTTTTCTGCAACCAGCGTGTCCAGGGGAGCCAAAATGTTAATGCAAAAGGTCAGCACATATTCCAAAGAGCTGCATTTTCATGTGAACACTGCTAATTCAAATGCCCTCTAAACTGACACTGGTGGGGCTGCCATTAACCAAAGGCTATACATTGGGCTGAATGTTATATGGTTTTAACTCTGCCCTGCAGCCATGCAGAGAATATAGACCAGCCTGAGGCCACGCACAGGATATAGACCGGCCTGAGGCCACGCACAGGATATAGACCGGCCTGAGGCCACGCACAAGATATAGACCAGCCTGAGGCCATGCACAGGATATAGACCGGCCTGAGGACACGAACAGGATATAGACCGGCCTGAGGCCAAGCACAGGATATAGACCGGCCTGAGGCCACGCACAGGATATAGACCACCCTGAGGCCATGCACAGGATATAGACCAGACTAAGGCCATGCACAGGACTGACTGTGCCCACTGTAAATATCCTGTAAGAAATTGATTCCCATTTTGACAAATAAACACAACATGAAGCTATGGCAGAATAATCAGTATTATGACTGTATTGTTTTTCCTTTAATTATTAAATTAATGGACACTGTCAAGTTACTTTATGCACTTGGCTTATCAAAGACCATCATACACAAACAGCAGAGAGCTTCCTGGTGAAAGTGCTGGAGACATGAATATGTGATGTTCAGTAGTGTGTTGTGGCTCAACACCTCCTTTACCTGTTTTCTCACAGCCATCCTCGTCGCTGCCGTCCGAGCAGTCATTTTCACCATCGCATCGCCATGACAACCGGACACAGCGGCCGGACGCGCAGCGGAACTGTTCGGCGGTGCACATGGAGGTGGCTAAAGGAGATCAAACGGTGTGAGTGTTCACCCGCACAGAGACGCACACACTTTTCCTGGTGAACAATGCTGGGTCGTGACCAACTCGTTCTGGCAAGCAAGTGATGGCAGATAAACACTCACTGCAGTTCTTCTCGTCAGACTGGTCATCGCAGTCAAACTCGCCGTCGCATCGCCAGCCCGCGTTGATGCACATACCACTGCTGCACATGAACTCCACAGAACGGCAGGGCTGGTGGGAAGCTGTAATGCAGAGGGAAACTACAAACTTAATGGACGGTACCTCACGCACTTATCATGCTAAACATCAGGCGATGAAGGGCCACCGGGAGTCACTACACTTGGTTCCTGTCAAATGGTCATGTCATGTCAAGCCTATTAATACTGAACTAAAGAAATGGAAGATACTGGATGAGATGGGTAAGAGAGTGGGAGACACAAATATAATCTCCATTCACACCTGCTCACAGAAAAAAACACCGCTATTTATCTGATTTCGAGAGGCAAAACAACAGGTGCCTCGCTACCCACATTAAAAGGTAGGCATTACGTCATTCTTCAATCTGCCCAGCTAGACTTATCAGCTAAAACCCTGCCTATCACACTGACTCAACTAATTTACAGACCAAAGAGCCCAGACTGATGAAGATATTTCATTATGTGTATGACTCAGCCAAGTAGACATTCCTGAATTAAACAAAGAAGCCTTGATAGTGTCTTTGACACAAGAGAATGGCTGAAGAATGTCATCTGAAGATGAGTCAAGACTGGAATGTTCTTTTGCCATATTGTTCAGGGCTGTTTGCTTAGCTTTGAACCTCTCTCAGATTTCCAAAAGATGAGTGAGGGGAAAAACGTGTCAGAAGCTCAGGTTAAGAAAAAAAAAAAATCATTGTGGGGTGAGATTTGCGAAGGGTGGAGCATTCGCTGGAATGTTTATTTTCTTTATGGTTCTACATTATAATCTAATTTATAAAACACTTCATTTTGAGTGTGACATTTCACTCATCCTCCTACACTATGTTTAATATAGCCCTGCACAAGTGATTACTTGCAAAAACAAAATAAAAAAAAAATCCTTCCAAGATGATACTAGATAGCACTGATGACAACATTCTTGTATGAAGGTGAACTCTAAAGCCACTACAAGCTGCTTGAGGACTGTTTTTAGATCATAACTCCATTGTGTTTGACGCCCCATATAATGCAGCAATTTAGGCAGGGGGATATATTCTCCGTCAAAGGCAGCTAGATTCCAGGAAGATGCCATCCTGTAACTAACTGATGGCCAGTGATGTTATCAGACTGCAGTCTTCCACAGGCTCTATACAGACTTGGGATGAGTCTGCATTGTCGAATATTTGAAGGCGTGTACATAATCAGGAAAAAAAAAAGATAAATGAGCTATTTGAATTATTTGCCAGCAATATAATTAGCTGTAATTTTTCCATACATTAATAATCTTTCTAAGCCAATCAATCACTTTTGTCCTTGCTCACTCATTATGTGGTGCATTTCTGAGAAATGTAACAAAAATAAGTGAGGTGAGCAAGCAAACAAAACCTGATCACTAGAAGACATTTGACTTTCGCAACAAGGAAATATTTTGCATCCCACAGATGGACACTGAGCAAAAGCAAGTGATTCGGCGGCACTGCTTTGGGTCTGTTTGCACAACCTGCAGCAACAAGTTAGAGAATCTGAAAACACTGCTGTTCATTTTATATGTACATTTATGCTGTCATGGTTGTTACAAAAGGTACTAAAATCCATGTTCTGTGAATTATGTTATTGTCACTCTGCTAGTAGAGATTTTTGGTGAGAATATGAACTACTGACTTGCCTTTTCCAGTAAAATCAGACACTATTGTTCACTATCGGTAAGATGTTATATTTGGCTACAGCTCGTTTTAGGTAAATTTTCATATTTATTGTAAAATTTAAAAATACCACAATGTGTGTTTTTCCATATTGTTCAGCCATAGTTTCAATCCTACTTTTAATATTTAAAGTTATCCTTTTGCTGTAATGCGTGATGTCTGGTTTTATATGGAAATAAATTAATTGAATAACCTATAAGCCAGTAATATAAGTATTATTAGGATTGTGTTGATAAAAATAAATAAACTTCCATTCGCTGTAACTGCCTAAGGCGCAGGCATCAACACGCTATGAAACCATCAACCCAGGTTCAGTAAGAGAGCCACAGTGTTTACTCTCTGAGGTCACCGATTAACCTAGCGACTTTTCTTATGACTGTGTTGAAAACAGAACTGCTTCAAAACACCAGTTTCTTCTGATTTAAAAAATATCTCCTAGTTTAATGAGAGCCTCAGATCCAGGGAATGGGGTGATCACAGTTAAAAATGCAGAATGATGAAGGGATGTCGCTGTCTATTCAGTCGAGATGACTTTTCTCCTGTGCAGCTGTGCGTTCAAGGGAAAACGGAGAAGGGAGAGCACCGAGGTTAAAGAAACGAGGATGAGATAAGAAGCTGAGATCAGAGGGGAGAGCGTGACGGGGATTTTTGGGATCAGATAACTTGGACCGTGCTCTTGGATCTTGCTTCAGATTAAAAACATCATTCAGACCTACATCACGCACAAACCCATGCAGAGAGAGATACAGCTGGATATGGCCCTTACAGCAGTCCGACTCATCAGACCAGTCCCCACAGTCGTCGTCTCCGTCGCAGTGGTAGATGTCCAGGATGCAGCGGCCGTAGGAGCACTGAAATTCTTCCATGCTGCATGTGGCCGCCATCACATCAGAGGCTACAGAGAACATATTTACCAAATTATTTCAATGTCGACTGAAAGAAACACGAGTAACAGATCACAGATGCTACACTGAGGCCACACAGCAAAGATTTTCCAGTTGTACAAAATTGGTGACCCTGGACATGCATTTCATAATTTGAGAGAAAAACGAAAACTTATAAATATACAGATTACAAAAATTACTGTTCTGTAAGGATATGTTAAATCCAAACCTGTGAATGCATTGTAAAGTACAGAATGGACGGTTATTGTAAACTCTTTTTACTCTTTCCGCTGACACGACTCTATGACAGCTGCTGTGAATTTTAGCAACCATCTATGCGACATTCATATATAAATAAGCCGCAAAACAGATGTTAGGTATTCCAAGCGATGTTACAATCCCATGGCTTTTGATGATAATTAAAGGTATTAAGGCATTTATTGTCATGTGATCATTTTTATTATTAAGGTTTGATATGTTCTTTATTATTTGTATGAAGCACCTGCTGTCTTTATGAAAAGTACACAGTAAGGACTATGAAAACAACCATAAGGTTGCAAAAAATCTCATATATACTGCAAGCTTTACTCTTTCATGTCTATTCACTCATTCAAAAGAGTGGCTTTGAAACTGAATATTTATCTTCCATGCCCTCTGCTTTTCACCAGCATTCACTGAATAGTGAGCATATCCATAGAAGTTCAAAAGTTCCACGCTGTACACACCCTCAGCAGAACAGAACAAAAACCACAAAGGCAGGATCAAGACTATAATGCACACCTGCCTCACTTTTGAAGTGCTACCAATGTCAAATATAGAAATGAGAAGGTGATGCAATGCATAAAATAATGCAGGGGATCTGTTCTGCGGTCTGCCGAGAAAACCTTCATACTTCATCTGCAGATTTGTATGTTTGGTCGAGTACATATTTATATATGGTTTTATAGCAAATGAAACACTCCTACTATTTATATATCGATAGATCCTATCACAAATCATAGGGGAATGTAATTTAATTGATGGTCTACGTGACTACAGCCACCCATCGACATGTCCTATCGAGTAATGTCCAGTTGTACTTACATTCAAGGTCCCATAGGAGCCGTAATAAAAGTAATTGAGAGACATCTGAAGCAGACATATTGGACGTTAGCGGACGTATTTAACCACATCTGTGGCATGCGGCAAGAACCAAAACTAACCAAGCACTGCCACTACAGAGGCTTACTTAAATGTGTGTGATATTGTATCTTATGTTGTCTCTTATATTTGACCTATACCCTATAATGATCAAGAAATGTCCAGATTGCCTTATGTCCTCACGTCTGGGATGAAACCTGGATGTAAACACTCCTCACTTAACGACCGAGTTCCATTCCGATCAGCGAGGAGTCACCTCTTTACTGATATTTCAAGCATAATATACTGGTAGTGGGTTTGGGTCAACCATCTTTAGATATTGTTTTAATGTCACTTTTCCACCATTTATAACATTTTTAGTATATTTATAATTGTTCATACGGTAGTGTACTTCATACTGTAATAAATAATGGAAATCAGCTCTAATATACATTACTGAGGTTTGACTACTGTAAATACAGGTAATCTTTTTTATTTATTCTGAATAAAGAAAAAGTCTAAAGGAAACTCCAACCTGAAAACTGTTTTAATTTGCATAACATGCATTACACATTACTGTGTATAAAAATGCGTACATAAAAATATGCAGTCTTGGAGTTTGCGAATGCTAGTGGTGTGAATACTGACCGACTGCGGGAACGAGACTGAGAAAGGATGCCGCGAGATGAGATACTTGATGCCAAGTTGCCGCACTGATGTTTCTACAGCGTACAATCCCGACTGGTCAGAGAGTCATGAGTCCAGTGGTCATTAAACAGGTAGGTTGTTAAGCGAGGAGTGTCTGTACCACGTTTCACCCAAGCTACCCCCCCCCCCCCCCAAAAAAAAAAAAAATTAAAACCTCCTGAAGCACAGATACAATCAAAAGAAAAGTGCAATAATGATAATATCTGGGAAAAATGTAGACCACCATAAAAAGCAGCGGTCAGTCATAACCGCACACATTGGCTGTCGCATATCCATTCGGATGATGATCCGACATGATCATCCACCCACTCCTCACCCCCAAGTGATGAACTGTCAAGTACAAAATTCCCCATCAATCCTTTCCATTTGCAACCGGGGCATTTATCTACACAGATGAAAGCTCTGCCATTAGCCAGCTGACAGCATCAGAGAGGAGCTTTGATGTCTTTTAGAAAAAAAAAGTTTTTACAGAGGACGAACTTTCAGTAGTCAGAGATTGCGGTTACTTTTCATTCATCTTTTTGTGATGAACATCCGAAAGCCCAAAAGCTCCCCTAACCCTACTTTTACATATAGTCCAGTATATCCAGACAGTCTTCATGCCTTGGGATTCCATCTTTGTGGTCGCATGCACATTATGCAATACCGGACGTCCCTTTGGTATCATAATTGACACTAGATGGGCACTCTTACTATTGCACCATGTAATCTCTGGATACCTCTTTTCTGTTGCATGACACATCAGCCTAGAAAAGGTCTGGCGAAAAAAATTATACTATGCAGCATTTTATTGCTCTGCCGTATCGATTTACTGTATTCTGAAACTTTTTGTTTCAAGGAGGACATATATTTAAAAAAAAATACAAAGATGAGCTGTGTGGGCATGCATCATGCAAGCAGAAGGTAAGATACCATCGCAGACTTTGGCTGCAATTCAGGAGACAAGAGGATAATAAGCCAAAATGTTTTGTTGAAATGCGTATATCTCAGATGTCAGTTAGCTGATAGTGTTAAATTCCACTTCCAAAGAATCAAATTCCTTTATGATCATTGGTCCCCTCAAGCTTTATCCTTTCTTTATAGGAATTTGATAATTGTGAAAAGGAAATGTTAATGTCAGATAATGTGAGATGTGCATGGGCTGTAACCCTAATTCTTATGGGTAAAAGTCACAACTATAGCTCAGATAGTTGTAATCACAATCTCGGATCATTCCCATACAAATTCTCCAAAAAAACACTTCAGAAAAAGTAGATTTTAAGTATGAAAAACATGTTGCCAAAACCCTAATCAATCTCAGATGTAAGAGACTGCAACAAATATTACACTGTTAATTGCATTCAGTGTCTCCAGGCAGTCTATTTAAAGCAAATCAAAGAAATCAGTGTATCGGGTTCTGGCGAAGTAACAGGAGAGAAACTTCATTATTTAACAATCGAGCATGAGAGCCATAAATTAGCAGCTTTAGCTGAACAGCTCATAACTCATAATTCAAGTTTTAACACTGGCATTCTTCGGGACAGATAATGACATGAAAGGATTTTCCCCTCACAGCTTTGCAGTGCGCTGATCTCCACTCGGCGACAGTAATACCCAGGGCTTTCGCAAGAGACCGAGCGAGACTGGAGTGCCGGTGGGAGGACAACCATGCTGTTACAACAGGCCCCAATTCAGCAGTCTCAGTGCAGCAGCCTGATTGGCCAGTTTCATGGGAGAGTCAAAAGGACACAGGGCATGGTAGGACTCCTCATTAGCTTATGCATGCCAGGCATTCACTTTTCCAGCCAGCCACTGCTGCCATTATACTGCCTATTCTTGGATTAGTATTCTTATTATATTATTATTAAATCATTATTTTTATTTTTTATTTTAGATCTGCTACACATTTTGTATCATGTGGAAGTGCAGTGCCGCTCTGGGCAGACGTGACTCACGGCAGTTCTCCTCATCGGAGCCGTCCTTGCAGTCTGTGTCGCCGTCACAGTACCAGTGCTCGGCAATACAGCTGCCGTCAGTACAACGAAACTCTTTGTCGGAACATTTCCTCATGTCTGGAACAAAGTGGAGAAAAGCAGATATTCGGGGTGGTCAGTACATCCCAGCCACCACTTCCTATGATCAGCCTGCTCCCAGAAGACACTTTGGCACCTATTTAACATACTGGAATCCCTCTGATGTTGCCCTTGTCTTCTGGCACAGACTGCTGGACAGTGTAAGCATCATCTGTGCTATGTCTGTGGGGTGTTTAGCTGGAAACTTCTCATCAGAGGATATATGCTGTCATGAGATTCTCATGTGAGTATGCGACTTCTTTATAAAAAATATTTTTTCCTCAAAATAACCGACTTCAGAGATTTCTGCAAAAGCTTTCCTGTTCTGCAATTAATACTACAATGTATTTTTAGGGCAGCAAAAACATTCTTTTGATAATTGATTAATCATTTGATCAGGTGATCAACTAATCAATTAGTTGCGCAAAAGGACAGGGTTTTAAGAAAAGTGCAAATGCTTTATTTAAACCAGGGCTCTTCAAATCTGGACCTCGATTCCAAATCCAGGCCTTGTTTTCAGTTCTCCCAGGTAGTTAGTTTAACAATTACTAATTGGTCAGAGGCTTCACACCTGGCTCACAGGTAAAGGAAGGCTGGAAACCCAGCAGTGCTCAGACCTCAAGGACCGTGATTTGAATAACCCTGATTTAAACGGTATTTTTAAGTCACAGTGTACAGAATCTCTATTTAAAGTGACAAAGTGGCACAGAAACAAAGATCCGCTGTCTCTGCCATATTTAACTTGCTAATGATTTATAACAAATGTAGTGTATGCACAACCATGCACATACCATTATGGTAGCACACAATAAGAGAGAAGCATGAACTAGGTTCATGCTTCACACCAATGTTAATGCGGCAAGGTGGTGATGTCATTATACACAATTTTTACAAATGCAAAAATGCAATTAATCGATGACAATTTGTTGTCAACTATTTTCATTACCTATTATTATCAACATTATCGATTAGATGTTGCAGCGATAATATTTTATGTGGAAAAACAATGTATAAATTAACTGGCCTCACTTAGGTAAAGATGTGGTTTTCCCCTGCATTTCGAGCTTAGTGAAAGCTCCACTAGACTTCCTGCAAATCAGCCAAATTAGCAAAGACCCCATTAGCAAATGGAGGCAGGAGCATTTAACCTTGGGAGTAATCTAAAAAGGGCCTGTGTGGCCTCTGAAGAAATCATAAAAGGGGCTTAAGAGCAATGGCACTGAACCAGCACAGAGAATTTTATAGCAGAGCCTGAATGTCCTCACTACTAATGGAATACCCTGAAGCAGCTGGCCCACCTGCTCTACTTGCTCGTGGTCTGGAGTAATCACATGGGAGTCTCCACTGAAACTAAACGTGTAGCTTAAGCAGGAATGGTAGGATTCTGGTTAAGCACAAGGCCAGGCCATATTCTTCAGTGTAAAAGATTTTTGTTTTTTTGAGTGGGTCATGACACTTCTAAGGTTTCTCTCTATGCAATGGGAGTGGAAGTAATCATTTAAGGTCAACAATTAAGACACTGAGCCAAGTTAGTTAGAGAAAATAGATCTAAAACAGGTAAGTGGGAGTGGCATCGAACAATGGCTGTTAAAAAAGACCTTAAGAACCGATGGGTCTCAGCCAAATAAACAAGATACACAGTGTAGCATGAAGGATACAGTCAAAGAGAAAATTCGGAAACAAACACGTCAATGAACATTGATTTTCACTTTGTCTATAATTATGATCTCCGTTAGAGTAGAATAAAACACACAAGCAAGACCGTAGAAACATGGTAAAGAAACATAACAGATGTCTTGAAGGTGTCAGTCACCCAGTGTCTGGAACACCTCTATAAGGGAGAAAGGCATTTACCCTATTAACCTCACGTTTGAGCTCACACCATGGTCAGATGGCCAACCTTGTTTGCACAAAATTTCAAAGAACGCTGTGGGAACCCTTGAATCAATTTCCAGTGGGATTCTTAAATGCCACTACTAGTTACAGACTCAGATGTGGCCTTGACAGCAGATGTTTTGATCTTCAGCAAAGAATGAAAATTGTACAGTGAGACAGAACAAGACTGCGTATGTCCAGATAGAGAATGTAAAAAAAAACTTACCGCACTGCTCATCACTGTTGTCTCCGCAGTCGTTGTCACCGTCACAGTGCCAAAGGCTGCGAATGCAGTAGCCATTCTGACAGTGGAACTCATCCTCCTCACACTCCCTGGGCGCTGTACAAAGGGAGAGGGAGACACCAAACCACAGAACAGAATCAATTATTGCTCTCAAAAGGAAAAAAAAAAAGTAGGTAGAGAAGTAGACAGGACAATAAATAAGGATCTGGCGGGAGCAGCAGCAGCAAGCTGATGACCTTGCCCTTGTATATCGTTCAGGACACGTAATGGCTCTAAAGAATTTACTGACAAACTGTTTTGATGGTGTCTGAAGGAATTTCAATTATGATGTCATTTATATATCAGAATGCACGTGTGAGCTTTTACAGATCCCATTAATGCCTTGACAGATGCCACTTTTTGAGCAGAAAATAATGTGGTGCTGAAAGCAAAGTGTTGCCAGCAAAAATAAATATGATGGCATTCACTCTTAGGCTGTAATCAATATCTTACAAGGCTAGTACTTAAACTGAAACATGATGCTTTTTAAACCAAACAGAAATAAAATTACTGAAAGTGGGCTGTCATTAAATATTTATTATTTCTCTTCATTCCACTCAAAAAGCATTTTCAACAGCATACTTCACATGAAAGCATATTTCAAAATCATGTACTATCAATCGCAGAAAAATATACAGAAAAATAAGCTTTTTTGCTTATTGATGAAATATTTCTATCACTATATGCTGTAATATGTTATCTAATCAAGAGCTGTGATGCTTTATTGAAGGTACAATTTTCTCCACTTAGAATTATGACAGAAAGCTCCCTAGAGCCACAGGATAAATTTAATTTTATTTCAGCTGCACTTCATAATAAAATTCCCGCATCTGTTTCTCCAATCAGAGGCAAGTGAGACCAAATTTATGTGCTTCACTCTGGTGCATGGCTGTCACACCGTGCTAGGTGCCCGCTGACTCTGTAATGTACTGAACAAAGCAGAGCTCCACCACAACATTTAGAGAATGATGTGTTCTGACTCAGCGAGTGCCATGCTTGTACATCTGCATACATAATACATTCAATGCTGAACTGCATTTTTCCACATTTCCCCCATGTATTCCCTTATAAGAAGAAATGTCAAATTGTAGCCCAGCAGAATATCAGTCACGAGAGCAAACACTGATGAAAGATCACATGAAGCGATTAGCCTGCAGGACACATTACGCCTAAAAGTACTGTAAGTGATGGCTATTAAGAGATTCTTTTTTAAATTAATGTGCAAGTAAACAAAAGCACAAAACTGCATCTCACACAGTGCTAGGATAAATAAAACTCTCTCAAACACTGAGAAGACAAGCACAACAATGCACTCATACATAGTTTATGTTTCTACATAACCCGTAGAATAACTGTTTGCAAAGAATGTTTTAAATCCCATTCTCCTTTTTCCTGATGTGCACAATCAAACCAAATATTTTACAGATCTACAGTTCCTTTCCTGCCCTTTAAATTATAGAAAACATGCACAAGAATTATTAAAGAGAGGGGGAAAGGTTACAAGGCATAAAAATTAAATATTTACCACAGGCTCACACCAGGCAGACCTGGCTGTAAGTAACATTTCTGTGTCAGGACCTTAAAATATGGGTCACACACGCCATTGCAGCTTGGCCCCCACCATGCTGACAAACACTGTCATGCCAGCTGTGCATTAGCACCAAACCCAGAAGGACTAAAGCAAGTAAGTGTCTGGTACAGAGGCACATCCGAATGATGAGAAACGAATTTGGGCCGGATGACAGATCCCCCATGGAGACCTCCCTTATGAACATACACAACAAGCTATTAGAGGAAGCAGACATGTACCAAGAAGACTCTCTACTTAATAGTATCTTCACAGATATTTAATACAGCCTGGTTACACACCTGTAGGACAAATAAGGAGGAGAAAAGGATACATTGCCAGAACATAATATACAGTATATGTGTACATATATGAGTCAGCTGCATATTCATTCTAATGGTGTCTGGGTGCCTGGAGAGTATATATATAAATGCACAGATAAATACACTAAATAGCTGCAGCAGATATACTACCTCCTGTAATGGTCCTTGAGCTGTCCCTGCATGCATAGTAAAAAGGGCTTCCCCACTGGCTAAGAATCCTTCTTGGTTGCCAAAATCATAATTTACATGCACAGTAATTAAAAAAAAATAGACAAGCATGGTGAATAAAGTGTAAAGCAGATCTAGCTCCTCAGCTACGGCACTGAATTGACGGTGTGCAGTAGTGCATGACACCGTCTGCTTATACGGTGGGGAAAGATAAAGCCAATATTATGGCCCTATATACCTAGTGCTACCTCTGCAAGCCTTCTGTACGGCCAGTTGGGCTCTATTTTGGTCACAAACACTTGTGGAGCTTTCCGCAGGCAAGGGAGGAAGTCTGTAAACAGAGGTAGAAAGGTTGTGTCCGAAATTCCCATATATCAGGTGCCTTGCTTCAGGTCCCTAATCTCATGCAGGGAGCTGTGTAAGGAGCCCCAAATGAAAAAACACCCACCCTTGGGTGTACTGGTGCCATATGCAGACATATACATATGTCCCCATAGGGACGGGGGGGCACTTACGGCAGTCGTGCTCATCAGAGTCATCCTCGCAGTCGTTGTCCCCGTCGCACACCCAGGAGCGGCGGATGCACTTGCCATTGTCACAGTGGAAGTCCAGTGGTGAGCAGGTGGGCAGCACTGGGAGGACAGAGGCACAGGGAGCGTCACCAGCAGGCCCAGGTCACATATATACATGCAGCATGAGAAATGCATGGTGTGCTGCGTCGCATGGGCCAGCGCATCACGGCAGTGGGCGCATTAGCTTGATCAATGCAGTGCCTCTTTTGGGCCAGAAATGTGTCTGGGGTGCTAATGCTCTGGCCTCAGTCTTCAGGGGAATGACAGCCAAAACAAACTGTGCTGCCGCCTTGCATGAGGTGGCTCTGAAGTACCGCACAAGAATTTTAGCAACCTGAAAACCCAATGAGCGAGAGAAGAGAGACAATCAACACAGAATACAAAGAAACAGAAGATACAGGAAAATGGGACAGAATAATCAAGATGCAACAACAACAGAGGCTGGCATTACCAGGGAATAATACAGCTCCACATTATTACTAGGCTGTTTCCATGGCAATATGAATGCAAGGATCAAAGTTTCCACTCTATTCACTGGGTGACCATCAGGGTGTTTTTGATAAGGGGGCTGGCTTCCTTCTTACCCAGTGATGCTTAGGGTGGAAGCCCTCCAGCCTGAAGCTAATGCCTGTGGCGTCATCATATTTGTTGAGCCAGCATTGGACTGATACTCATGTAAGCCTCGCTTTCTTTGATAAGAAATTGTGTTATGAATTTTTTTTTATGAAAATAAAAAAAAAACATCCGTTTTGCTTCTGTGCAAGGTCACTGACTTACAACAACATGACAACTATGTATGAATGAAAAAATCATAAGCTTCGACATACTATATTTGGCTCAAATGTACTTCACAAAAATGTGGGGGGTGGAGCCTGTGAAGCAGGTAGCATAGTAAGGAACAGGAACCAGTAATGCATGATTTTGTTTACATTCCAGAATTCTAAAAGTGATAAAAGTGAAAAGTGACCACAGAAACGCACATCATGGCACTTCACAGCTGCCGGCTTCGCAAGTGCCAGGATGCTTTATGAAATTCGATTAAACGTTGCTTGTAAAAGCGTGATACACTAAGCACATTTGTCACAACCGAAAAAGGGAATGAAAACAGAAGGTCAGTAACAAGAAAAGTGAAATGGATCACCCTGAGCCATTCGAAGAATGTGTTCAAGTAGTCACTTTGCAAGTGCTTCTACTGTTGTGGCTTTAGCTAGAGTCTAGCCCTTTGGTTGCAGCACATAGAGAATACACAAGAGAATACAAGGAGGCACTCGCTGACAGACATCAACACATACTAAACACACATGGTACTTCACCATATCAGATGCATCTACAAAGATAGTGGTGCTTAGGCAATGCCTACTGGAGCTCTTTTGATATGTATTTTTTTATCAGCTGATGACAGTTGTGATTATCCGTTTGCCACACTGAGGAATGCAAAAACTGCCAGCCCCACGCCATTTATACTGGAGCGGAGGTGCTGCCTCAGCACAACCTTCTAGTGTTATCTTCCTGGGCATACCTCAGACTTCTCTATGGTCCATCAACACTTCAGCAGCTGAATCTAAATTCAACTATTACAGGACTGTTCAAGTCACTAAGCATTTTGAAATTACATCCTGCGGAAGCATGCAACTGGAATCATGCGGCTGGAAGTAATGACCAATCAGAGTTCAAAGTGTGCATCTGTTCAAGCATTTTAAAGCTGAATTTTATAAACTAGCTACCTTAGTAAAACCAGTTTCCAGGAAGAAGCCATCTTCAAAAGACACGCTTGCATTCCTCAGGAAAGATAAGACGAGCATAAAAAGCAGCATACACAAAATGACTTTGTACTCCTCAAATCACGCCCGACATTCACAGAAAAACTGCTTGAAGCTCCGGAACATCAATCCCCCAGAAGTGCAGTAACACATTTGCAGCTCCCTTATCGTTCTCTTGCCGCTTTTTCAGTTATTAACGCTGACGACAAGCCAAGTTGGGTCATCAGGTTTTTTTTTTTTCCCTCTTTCGAATCTGAGCTCTATATGAAACATAATAGTACTAACAGATCAGATTATGGGCAGCTTATCACTGAAGCAAAAAGTGGCTGGAAATGTCTAAAAAATCTAAGTACGGCTGAGATGTGAGAATAATGTTGTGTGAAGGAAAGATAGGCTAAATGCTGAGGGCTCAATCTACTGTGATTACATTCCAGTTCAACAGAAATATTGCCCTGCACCCACATTCAGCCATCACAGGAGAGGCATGTCAAAACACATTCAGGTACATGAAACCCATAAAATGGTACCATTCAGAACTGTAAAATAGCGTGCAGAAACAGAATGGATACACTTTATCACAATGGACGTTACAGATAGCTAACAACTGCGCTAACAGGTCACGTCGGCCCATGTCTGGATAAATGAAGCGACAGCAGTAACAGCCGGATCCTTGGCAGAGCTGCAGCTGACCTCATGCTCCCTAATACCTGCACTTTGGAGTCCATGAAAATAGTGCCTTGGCTTGTCAAGTTTCTCCTGGTTCACGTTGCTTTCTAGCACAAATGAAATGATTGTGATGCTCTAATTGTAAGCTGGCAAATGGTTTGAGGGGCGTGGATGTCACATGACAGGGTGAGTCGGGTAATGAGCTTGTTTCCTTGTCACTTGTGAATTATTAGCAATCTGAGTTTTGTTTTTTTCCTCAGTCACCAAAAAAATGCACCTCGATCCCAATAAATCATGCTGGAGTTCGTTAAGTAGCTTGATGCTGGTTTTTCCTTTTGTACTCATGTCAAAATGGCATCTTGTTGTTTTTTTGTTAAACCCATCTCCACACAGGATCAAGACTTCCTCCACAGCTGGGCCACAAAATATTTAGGCAGTAAGCCAATTATGTGAGGGTCAAAATATTTGTCAACAAGCTTTCTCCAGCATTTCCTGTAATTTGTTCTAAACTGAATGTTCATCACTAATATAGCACAAAATAATACAGTGATCCCTCGCCTACTTCGGAAGTTACGTTCCAGACCCATCAGCGATAGGTCAAAATCTGCGATATAGAAAGACCATATAAATAAACATTTTAATAAACATAATTAACTTTTTTTTATATAGTTTAAGCCTTAAATCTTAGGGCTTAAAGCAAAATGAAAAGTTCACAAAAAGTTTGCTCACAACAATCGGACCACAACCAAGGTACGCGATACGCAGAGAACTGTGATGGGGCGGGATTGCTGAACCGCGATATAGCGGGGGATCACTGTAATGGTATAACTTACAGGATAACACTGTTGAACTATATATAATTTAAAAATTGCTGGGAGATATCTGCTAGCTCTAATTTTCACAACAAACTCGCAGGGTGCTCACTGCAGGAGACAGACACTTGAGTCAGCGGCTGCTCAAACCCAGTTTTTACACATCCTCAGCTTGGAAGGCTCTGTGCAGATATGGGCAAAGGTTCCCTATCTGCTATTGAAAAGCACATCAAATATTTGGGTTTCTATAAAAGGAAATATAGACAAATTCTCCAAGTTAAAGAACGAGGCTGCATAAGCAAGAGTCATTTTCACAAGGCTTATCACAGTCGCACACAAAGTAATATACAAAAAAGCAAAATATGGAGGCATGTAAAATTGGTGCAATAAGAAAAGTCAGGATAAAAATATCCACTAAGCTCTTCATGGTTAAATTTGGCTGGAATTAAGGCTTTATGAGACATGTGCAGTGCTTAGGGGGCAGCCATGCTGCACCACACCAAGGGGTGAGGATTCAAATCCAGCATCAGTTTGTCCTGTGCAGCCTGCAAAGCCCCTGTGTGCAAGAAGGCTTCCCCTCTGCATTCTAGTTCTCCCACATAAGGCAAAAACTAAGTGTAAAAAAAAAAAAAATCATGTGTCTTCATCGTAAATGACCGTTGAATCTCAACTGACAAGCTGCACAAGTTTAAAAAAAAAAAAAGACACACATTTTGCATCAAAACAATGCAACTTCCTCAAGAGTTTCAGTGTGTTGTCCAAAACCTGCAAATGGCAAAAACCCTTTTCCAGGAATGAGAGAAGGTTTGCGGTGCTGGCCTACTGAGACCTGACTTGCTGAAATGGATCAGACTGTACCCACACATTTGCTCCCTGCCCAGTGTCCATTGAGTCCAGCTCTGCAGCAAGGCCTATAACTCATGTGGAAGGAGGTGTCAGGGAAAGGAAATCTTAATGAGCCCAGAGCAGCGGCCTGCTTCTCGTCAGACGTTTGTCCAGCACACGCTGCTGAGTCCACAGTGGAGGCCTGACTGCAAGTACCAATGGTGACAACAGACACTGTTAATTTTCAAACACCTTCTAAGCCTTCAGAATGAAAAGCGCTGACCCACAGAGCAGAACCGTGACCAGTTTATCGCTAAAGAGGTTCATTTCTCACAGGCTGCTTGTGGCATGCAAAACGTCAGAAAGCGTTTTACGAAGGGCTTCGTATTACCTCAAATTCAGAAATGCACACCACCAGGAAGAATAACCTGGGATAATTGGAAAAATATGCAGCTTGTCTCTGAATTCCCCCAAAGATGAAAATGGCCATACCGAAATTTACTTAAAAACATGTAAATTACCTAAGCTTTCTGCACTCGGAAGAACTCATTGCAACTTCAGACCTATGTATTATAACACCGATTTCTTACTCCATAGTGGAATGATGGAGAGATGGCCTTTGAAAGTAGCCCAATCATGAGTTTTTGATCTCTTCACCTTATAGTACAGTTATCAGCCACCTCATTTCACAGCAGATTTTGATTGCTTAGCATACAACGCATACAAAACAGAAAACCTTGTAATATATTTTTTTATAAGAAAAACTAAAGTTTTGTGAATCCATGTTACTGAAAAGACAACCCTTCTCCAACTGAAATGATGTTTATCATGGTAACCGAAAAATGCTTTCATTTTCAAAATCTCTAAAAGAACATTTATCTTAAAAAATAAGATCTGTGTCGCTGGGTCCTGGCTACTTCAAAATGAATTCATCTTCAGCTCTATTCCCTTGTTAATCACTTCTTTCCCTTGGACATTTGTCCTCCAGTTACACAGATAGAGAAGTAAATATTTATAGAGGAGGAGGTGTCCTTTTTGTTTTGCGGCGCTGTACAAGTTTACCATGGTATATTGCCAAAAAGTCAGAAGCAGTAGGAAGGGTTATGCAAATTGCTGAAGGAAAGTGAGAATTAAACAAGCTGACAAAACTCCCTCAAACAAAAGTGTTCTGGACTCTGCCTCAGGAAAATGTCCTTGCCCTAAGGAGAGGGCCAGCTGTACAGGGTGGGCCAAATAGAGGTAAACAGTTTTTGCTTTACAAAGTCAAATTTTTATTTTACAAAGTTATTTTTAAAAGTAGGTATACAGTTTTTACTTTACAGTATTGTCCATGGGTGTCATGTCAAACGAACATGGTGGCCAGCCAATGCTGCCACGTCATCCGATCCAACACTGCGGAAAGCTGTTGTCAAAGCAAAACCAGGATTTTTTTTTTTTTACATATTCTAAGAATGATAGCAGGGAATCTGACTGAAGAACAAAGAAATTCACTTTGTAAAACAGAACCTTTACTTTGTAAAATAAAAACTATATACCTACTTTTGGCCCACCCTGTGTTTATAATCTGCTTTCTGGGGGATGCTCTCAGGTCACATTGCTTCCCGGCACCTTGGTGGGCAGTGGGTGCATTTTGATTGGCTGGGCCCTAAAAAATGCGAGGATTATGGGTGCAATGTGACTTTCAGCCAGGCGACCCTCCCCGGTACCTGACCCTGAAGAAGCAGCGGCAGCTGTACCACTCCCAGGCTTCATCTGCACCAACAGAAGGGTGCCTCCACTTTCCAGACCTACTTCATTTCATCTTCATAAATCCCCCCCCCCCCCCCTCACCTAAACACAACACCCGCCATCATCCCTCCCCCATACCAAAGCAGCTACAGCGATTGAGCCTTTCAACTCGGCAGGGGGTCTGCACGGTAGATAATGGCACTGTCATGCTGGTCTCCATCCAGGCTCCTGAACAGAGAGCTGAGAGTGATGAGGAGATGGGCAGAGCCTGGAGCTCGGAGCGTGGCGAATGGCTCAGGCTTACCCATCCAGCCACTCTGCAGGGGCAGCGAATTTCATTTCACTCTCATGGCCCGCTGACACTCCAGGCCTCTGTAGCTTCACAGGAGGGAGCCACGGAAACATGACCAGTGGGTAGGAACCAGCTGAACATCAGGCCTCACTCTCCCAGTATCTGTTCAATGCTACATCACTTAACTGCTACTGAAATCCCACCAAATTACCAAGTAATTAAAAGTTTTTCAGTCAAGATTTTCAGGTGAAATGATGGTTTTACCTCTCAAGTCATTTAAATGTTATAACTACTAAACTAGTATACATAGGCCTGAAATAAAGATATCTACCTCCGGTTCTTAAACATAAGTGAAATTTATAGTATATGGAAAATATAATTCATGAAGGAAAAGCTGATTAATAGTGATGGTACTCAAAGTTCTTTATATCTTGGTAAAATTTAGTCTCCACTATTATTTATGCCCTTGAAAATGTAAACTAGGTCAGCATCTACTTTGTAGCTTCAATTTAAATTGACCTAGTGAGTTTTATAAAGTATACAATCTGTGAGACTGAATTCTGTGCACGTAGAGAAATTTGTTGGAAATAGTTCAGTCGAACTGTTGTGTGTGATTTATGAACAGCTATTCTTCCTGCTGTCAATAAAACTGACTGCGGTAAAGGTCTTTGTGTTTTTGAAGGTATACATACAGAGGAGGAGCCATGCAGGCTGAAAACACAGGTTTTGATCTGCCAGGTGAAGGGCTGCTACATAATCTTTCCCCTCCGGATTCGGCTGCTGTAGTTATTCCAGGTCCTGGGGGAGCACAGCGCCAGCAAGACGCAACGGCTGCTTTTTGTTCCCTGTGGCATATTTCCAACTCCACAAACCTCCATTGTTTGCCAAGTATCTGGTTTCCTGGAGCTGCAGCGAGATGTGCTGTGCCATGGTGTCACGAGCAGAGGCCGCCCCGCAGGTCTGCCCCTGCTGGACCACACTGCCAGCGAAACCAGATCCTCACCTTAGCAAAACACATTGAAACTGCTGTGTTTGCATGGAATTCCAAAACCTAATTCAATTATGAGCCTGCTTCAAATACAAATACCACTAACCCCTATTTTTCCCCAACTGCTCCCCACATTCTCAGAATATGCACAACTTAACAGAAACTGCTGTCTTTTCAAATAGCTAAATTGTTACAGAATTCCCAGTTTGCCCAAAGCGGGTATTTACCACATGTGGTAAATATCAGTAACCAACAAGAAAAGGTCTTAGAAACTCTAGGTTGAGTGAAGCTCATTTATTGATATACTGAAATATTGGTAAAGTTTAAATATTGGCCAAGATTGACACATCGATAGCATTATCTTGATTTTTAATGAATATCAGCTGATACCAATATGTTAACATATATATTGTGCATTTCCAAGACTAACATTACCGTACTTTTTACCTAGATAGCTTGTTAACTACCTTGGATTCTTGCCCACTGCTACTGTAGCTAGCAGAAAGAAAGAATTTCACTCCACAAAAGGGAGGCATTTCCCGAAAGCATCGTAGTGCAAAGATTGTCTTAACCATTAGAGAGAGCATTCTGCTCTACACAACAGGGGCGGGTCCCAAAATCGTTCTAGCACAAAGATCATCAGGTAGCGCTACCGTTATGGATATTAATAAATCAGTTCTGATGTTTTCAGATCAATGCATTGCACCACTACCTGATTAATTAATTCATTATGATGCACTGATGCATCCTTATACCCCTATTGGAGACATGCTGGTTTGTAGTCTTTCCACACAGTCCAGTTACCATCAACTTTAAAGGTTTGTGTTGAATAGTGAGAGACAGCTGTGAAGAATGTTTGATGTTTTGACATTAAGGTTTTCTTCCATTTTAAAAGAATTCTTAAATTTGACTGGAACACAATGGTTGATGTAGTAACGCCATAGTATTAAAAATACAGTATTTAGCTTGTACTGAAAATAACATTTTAGGAACAGTATACATTAAGTTCACCACCTAATTATTATTTTTAATTAAATGCTAGTAACAGTGTTCAACTTTTTAAAACTAAAATTCAATATCAAAATTAAGGTAAAACCTGCACATGTAGCAGATGATTAATATAAATATAGAAAAACATTTAAAAAACAACTTTTCCATAGTATTTTTCGTGATCTATTCTATGCCTAATCAATATTTAACGGTTTATTTGATCTGGTGCTTGCAGGCATATCCAGGCAACATTAATGCAAAAAAGAAGTACAGTATGGGCCTAATATTGAACAGATATACTTTATTCATCCCTATGGGTTGCATAGCTCTTTATGCTCTCCAGAGACAGACAAACATGCAGGTAAGAGCATGTTTTGGATTCAGAGCACCCTGTCGGCCAGTGTCATGCACTCCAAGAGCAATTTGGGTTAAGAGTTTGGCTTAAGTTCCCAGTGATGATCTGGTTATTCTGCCGGCTATAGGACTGGAAGATTCCAACTATCTACTTATCAGCACTAATAACTACTGAGTCTATTACTGTACTTTCAGTCATTGATTTAACATCTATAAGAATAATCTGTCTTGACTTCTTATAGAAGTAAGATAAAGCCTGAAAAAGCTGGTACTCAGTGCCAGCACACTGTTACTATGGTGCAGGAACCTGTCTGTCACATCATATGTGCAGCATTGAATTTTGCCTCCAGCTGTCTGGGACGATGACCCATTTCTCCACGCTACCTTCTAGCTTTCAACACACTCTTATGCTGACACAGCTGACACATTTCAGAGTACTTTGTGCAATAGCCCAGGATCAAATGCGACCAAATCTTAATCAGATCCGAAAGCACAGTAGATCTGTATTAACAAATGGGACTTCCGAATCCATTGCAAGAGCCACCAGCACCCTGTATAACAGGAAGAACTGCCAAGTAAAGCAAATTGCTCTCCTTTAAAAATATTATATTCAGACAAGTTTTGTATGGGTCTCCTAAATCCCACTACAAATCAATGACCCAGCTTAACGTCATGGCTGAAGTCTATCGATTTTAACCGCAGTCGAGAGACTGTTCCACATGGCGTGAATGAATCAATACAATACATTTACGAGCCTCCTGCACATGTGTGGTCTTTCAAATGTCAACAGCTGAGCTCATAGGTAGTGTAATTCCAATACTTCACATAAACACTGGAAAAAAACTGTCACGAGATAAAGGATGTGCATCTTCACAAAAGCATAATGACACACATTGTGAGTCAGGGGCATCATATCCAGATTCTGGGATTTTTTCAGGAGTGCAACAATGGCAATGACTGAATGAATGAGTGAACATCTCCCACTAAATCATTCTCTAGGAGTAGGCCATGACAGCTCCTGAAGAGGACACGGACAGCAAGGGACACCACTGAGGGAGTAGTACTTACTGCAGCCATCCTCATCACTGTGATCCCCACAGTCATTGTCCCCGTCGCACTGCCACTGTGCTGGGATGCAGGTACACTCCCCAAAGGCACTCACTGCACAAGTGAAGTGGTTCCGCCCACAAGAGCACCCAGTGCTGCCAGCCACACCTGTAAGAGAAGAAGTGCATAATTTCAATAAAACAGACACGGAAAAGGTGGCCTGTCTTGAGACCAGGCATCCTGTGTTTTACGATGAAATTGATGTTTTTCCTGGGGTACTTGTTAGAGTGTTTTCCCCAACACCCAGGCTATAAAACACGCCTCCCATGGCAACTGCCCATGGAGACAGTGCATTCCTTTCCACTGCTGTCCCACTGCTGCGTTTGCTGGCGATGAAAAGACAGGGCCAAGCCTTTCCTAAAAATTTCATATGAACAAAGAGCAAACATACATCCTTGGGATTTCTCCAAGGGGGGTTCCTTGATGAAACAATAACATGAGAAGAAAACAAGTCTGTATACTGCCCAGGACGGAGAAAAGCAGTAAGGTTTATTTGTTTCTGAAGTCCCGCTTCCTAATTTACAGCTGACCCCTGACAGAGAACAATAAGCTGTGTACTGGCTGTTTACATTCTGGACAAAGTTCAACAACACTGCACTTGAAGCCAACCATTGAAAGGCTCCTCTCTCCCCTATACGACAAATTAAAGAATGTGCTACAGTATGACAGACAGCTCTAGCAGCAACCTACTGTCACTCTAAAGAAAGATTTTTTTCCCCTTTACCTTAACATCAAAGGAAAAAGGCAACAGAAGACCAAAATGCCTTCTCTTCAAAAATGGCCAATACAGATAATCAAGCTTTAAAGAAAAATGCTGACAAAAATATGATTTCCGCAACTAAGCAGGAAATCAGCTTGTTTCTGCTCTCTGCTTCTGCAGCTGTATCTGCATGTGTTATGTGTGTTTTTTTTCCTCATACAGCTTTGTCTTCCTGCCATCTTGAGTTTACACATTTTCCCTTTAGATACTCTGGTGGTTCTGTAATAATAATAATAATAATAATAAACCTTCTTATACCGTAAGACATTTAACTATACAATTATATTTTTTTCCCTGCAGAAAACAAAACTTCTGAAATACACTAAGGGCTACTGAAATATGGGTTTAAGTAGTATTTTCCTATGTTAGATTTGAACAATGCATTGATGCAGTTGTGGTAGATTCCAGATGCAACCACTGTGCAATAACCCTGCTTCTCCCAGTTTTTCCCAAACTGTTTCTCCTCCATCTGATTACCACAAGAAGCACAAATTACTAAGACAGGCAAAAATTATATAGCTATTAGTTTTAATATGAAAATAGTGTACGCATACATATGACTGGAACACACCAGTATAAGTGGCTCGAAAACGTAAGATTTGTAACCAGTTGTCCAATAAACAGAGAATGTGTGACTTTGACCAGTAGAGTCAACAGTGGTGTCTGTTTTGAGGCCCAGCAGCGCTTTTTTAAATTTGGTTTTATTATTTCTTCTACCAGCTTTCCCTCATGATGAATTTTTGGTTGTCTGTATATATGACTTGTGTGCATATGGACTGTTATCATGCATTTTATATGCAGCCAGGATAATGAAGACCTTATACAGAATCTTCAAACTCAGGAGGGGAAGGAAATCGTGTCTGTTACACGCAGTGCAAAAGGAGCCAGTTTTTGCCAATTAATCAGTGGCTCGGTTTGAGGGACTTGTTGAGAAGCTCCACGCAGGCTGGAGGCTGCCTGTGGTGAAAAGGCCTGGATTTCTGGACTCCACACAAAGGCATCACTCAGCCCAGGAGGGCCTGGCTTAAAAAAGAAAAACCTTCAAAACACTCCAGCTTCACAAAATTAATGGCCTCTTTTTTCCAGCCGTTACCACTTTTCTTCATTTGCCGTCGCCTTCCCCCTCTCTTCCCTTCTGCTCACCATAGCTTCAGCCATGACAAAGGGAATGTTCTCCACTAAAGAATTCTCTCTGCTCTCCCTGCTGAGGTCCTCTCTATAAGCAGACCCAGCAATGTCTCAGTTCTCCTTAGAAACTGGGCCAGTTCCTTTCATAGCGTTGTCTGTAACCCTCGGGGTGGTTTTCTGGCCATTTTACATCCTCCTCGATTCTTACTGGCATCAAATATTACAGATTAGGAGAGAGTGGGAATATAAATAAAACACTTTTTAGGAGAAAACCATGACTACGACAGTAATTCTGTTAAGAACATTTCTGGATTTGCAGTAAGCTTAAGACTGGGAAACTCAACCAGAATGGGTCTTTTAGAAACCAAGGGTGTACATTAAAAACTGTTGCCAAAGGGCATGCAGTCTTGCTGCATGCAAAGCCAATCTTTGTACCATATTAGAGGTTTGGCTAAAACAACTGGTGTAAATGTGGCTTTTCGCAATACAAAATTAAAGCCCTTTTCTTAGATCACCATTCAGTTATGTCAAGCTGAACCACATAAAAGCAAACTGCATTTGTCATACAACCATTAAAGGCTAGGATTAATCATTGGGACAGAGAGCAAAGTTACGTCTTCTCCGGGAACAGCACTGCTCGATCACAAACACTGAGCTAAAATAACTGAATGATAAGAGACAACACGACTTGCTCTCAGTAAATGTACTGCTATGGATAGAGGTTCAAACTGCACAACATGGGCTCAAAAACAGGAGACGCTGGCAGTTCAGGGTAGCATAATAAAATATGGAATATCAAATGTATGTTGCCCTTCTCCAAAGCCCTGTCACATGTCTATACCAGCAAGGCTTATTGAGAGCTACCTGCCATTACAGACAATTTTTCACATATGTCCACACAACACTGTCTCAGAGGTAATGTCTTCCGTTGCTTTGACAGCTGTCAGCAGATCAAAGCGCTCCCATCCTCTCCTTAGCGAATTTGCATTTCTCCTTGTCGGCAAACTCATGAAAGTTTCTGTGAATGACTGCTTCCCCTTCCACCCAACAGGCACCCCAATGCCCACCTACTTTTTCAGTTACAAACATTTGCATTACAAAACATTTACTTTTATTTATTTAGCAGACACTCTTATCCAAAGAGACATACAACTGAGAGAGCAGGGTCACTCAGTTTCTGGAGCAGTTGGGGGCTTAAGTGCCTTGCTAAGGGCCCGACAGCGAAAACGTTCTGCCAGCCATGGGACTTGAAAGAGCAACCTTCTGATTTTATGCATAGCGTCCTAATTCATGGCTTTCTGTTATTCATATCACTTTACAGAGCAAGAGGCTGGAGAACAGGGATACATGAGGCAGTGCCATGGGGAATAAGGGGACAGGAAATATATGACAGTCACACAAAGGCAGGTAACCGTATGGAGAGGGGGTCAGACCTCAGCATAGCCATTGGCAGGCCAGCTCCAGAGTGCCCCATCATGTCAGAGGAGGTCACAACATATTACATTTGCTTTGCGGTGGGGGTACAGCCCAATTCAAACTGACTAGAGGACCTGTAACAGAACAGGAAGAAAATTCTGAAGGATTAGTGGGATTTTGTGATTATCTTGCAAACAGGAAGACAGAAGCAGTTCCTCTGACCATGCTAACATTATAAGTGAGACTGCAAATGTTAAGACCTCCAGCATTCATTTTTTTTGAATGCTGGAATGATTTTGAATTATCCTTATTTCCTAAGGCTTAAAATTAAATTTTCCTGAAATAAGATTTAGGTTTATAACCCCTTGGATGGTGCAATCACCAGTAAGTTCACACTTCCTACATGGTTTTACAGAAGGAAAAAAAAATGAAATGTTCTGTAAGTGCTATGAGTAACCTTTTAAAAAACCTAGAAAGGGGGCTATCGGAATGACAGCAATGCATACCCCGCCCGGCCCAGTCACCTGTTCCACTCATCTAATCCATACTCGTCACACACTCACTAACTTGTAATATTTCTAAGAGTACTGGATGGATCAACTGGAAATGTGAAAGCTAATTAATGTGTTTTTACCTGAATGTTCTGAGTGCTAATTGTGGCACAAAACACTGAAACTACACCTATTAATTTACTGCACATTCCTCTTAGATGCCAGTGGGTTTTATGGTAGTAAATTTATTTGCTAAAATCTTTGTAATAATGTAGAATGTGTCTCCTGCTTCTGCGTAGAGCCAGCACTTCTACAAGCAAAGTTTCAACCAGTTCTATGGAGGTAATAAGGCATCATGAGCATCTAATTCATGATACTGCACATAGTAATACTCAATACACAGTAATCAGGCATAACATTCAAACTGCTTGCTTAATATTGTATAGGTCTGCCTCATGCCACCAAAATAGCTGTGATTTGTCAAAGCATGGATCCCACAAGACCTCTTAAGGTGTTCTTTGGCATGTGGCAACAAGATGTCTGCTCCATATTGTAAACTAAGATTCCGTGTTCGGTTTTGAACCAATATGAGATGTGATTTGTCTCGTAATTTGTCTCATAGCAATCGAGTGCACCAGCCCCCCCCAGCAAATTTTATCATCATGGACCTGGAGAGGTGTGGGGTGACCTCCCTTATTTCTAAAAATCTAAAAGTGGCAATCTTAGTGAGGATTGATAGTTCGATCGACAGAGGCATGAGTCTTCAGTTAACCAGAAACAACAACATGGTAAGGAAAAACCATGAGGTTCTAAAAGGGAGATGGGTGTCATTTAATTCTTGGGTCCTCAGGAGCTGCCATTTAGGTGATACGATGAGGGTGAAAACTGACAGAAAAGAAAACTACAGATGTGCTTTCACACTACAGTGATGTTCTGGCTTATGCTGTGTATTTCTATTGCAATGTAATGTATAGCAAAACTTCATTGTAATGCTGTGTATCCTATTCCTTAAAATAAAAACACAACCTGATATGTAAATATGTGAATGCTAACTAAATGACTGCAAAGTATAGTTTTTGTCCATTAAAGAAAAATACAGGATAATACATTTGGAATGGGAGACATATTACGCATAATTAGAAAAATAGGTGCTCAGATACGTATGAACATATTGCTTATTACCATCCACAGTATTATGAATTAGATGACCCTAACACCTAATTTTCACCATGGAATTGGTTGAAACTGCTTGGAAAAGTACCAGGTTTAGCGAAATAAGACCCAGCTGATTGGGAGACACATTATGCATTATT